GTTTGACGGACCAACATATTTATGTAAAAACGAAGAAGATTGGCCATCACATTCTCATTTTGATCCTCCTGAAAAGGTAGAGTCAATGGTAATTCGAAAGTCGAAAGTCGCGGCACTGGTCATCGAAACGGATCGAAAAATCGTGCACCAGCTCATACAAAATAGTTCGTCTTATTTAAAAATATTGCGTATCTTGTCATATATTTATAGATTTATAAAGTCAAAAAAGGAAGACGAAAGAGAGACACATTTAACTGCAAGGGAACTAGAATTATCGTTTTTCAAAATAGTGGAAACAATTCAGCATGACGAATTTGCTGTGGAAATGAGTCTACTCAAAAAAGAGTCGCCATGTCTTAAAAAGCACATTCAAAAATTGAATCCAATGTTGCAAGAATATGAGGAACATGGCCGGAGATTCTCGTTATTGCGAGTTGGTGGCAGGTTATTAAATGCGCCACTTCCATTCGAAACAAGATTCCCTTTGTTATTACCAAAGTCCCGGTTTGCTATGTTGTATGTTAAATATTTACATTTAACTAATTGCCACGCAGGACCGCGGGCACTTGTTGGTATAATGAGGTTAAAGGTATGGTTGATTAATGCGAGAGAAGTCGCGCGGAAGGTAGTTCATGACTGTGTTCTTTGTTTTAAGTATAAACCTAAATTGATGACCCAGATAATGGAAAATTTTCCACGAGATAGGCTAACATCAGTAAGACCGTTTGTAATCACTGGAGTAGATTTTTGTGGTCCGATATATACGTCTTATAGAATGCGTGGTCGACCCCCCTATAAGACGTACGTGGCGGGGTTTGTGTGTTTCGCGTCAAAAGCAGCATCTGATCTCTCTACTAATGCATTTATTTCTGTGCTTAAAAGGTTTATCGGGAGAAGAAGCTTGCCAGAGAAGGTGGTGTGCGACAACGCAACAAATTTCACCGGTACAGACGCGAAGCTAAAGGAATTGAAGGACGCCTTGTTCAGCAAAATCGCCTCCGTAAAGCCTACAAACAAGATTCTCGTTATTGCGAGTTGGTGGCAGATTATTAAATGCGCCACTTCCAATCGAAACAAGATTCCCTTTGTTATTACCAAAGTCCCGGTTTGCTATGTTGTATGTTAAATATTTACATTTAACTAATTGCCACGCAGGACCGCGGGCACTTGTTGGTATAATGAGGTTAAAGGTATGGTTGATTAATGCGAGAGANCATTTAACTGCAAGGGAACTAGAATTATCGTTTTTCAAAATAGTGGAAACAATTCAGCATGACGAATTTGCTGTGGAAATGAGTCTACTCAAAAAAGAGTCGCCATGTCTTAAAAAGCACATTCAAAAATTGAGTCCAATGAGGCAAGAATATGAGGAACATGGCCGGTTGCGAGTTGCGGTTGCGAGTTGTTGGCAGGTTATTAAATGCGCCACTTCCATTCGAAACAAGATTCCCTTTGTTATTACCAAAGTCCCGGTTTGCTATGTTGTATGTTAAATATTTACATTTAACTAATTGCCACGCAGGACCGCGGGCACTTGTTGGTATAATGAGGTTAAAGGTATGGTTGATTAATGCGAGAGAAGTCGCGCGGAAGGTAGTTCATGACTGTGTTCTTTGTTTTAAGTATAAACCTAAATTGATGACCCAGATAATGGAAAATTTTCCACGAGATAGGCTAACATCAGTAAGACCGTTTGTAATCACTGTGGAGTAGATTTTTGTGGACCGATATATACGTCTTATAGAATGCGTGGTCGACCTCCCTATAAGACGTACGTGGCGGGGTTTGTGTGTTTCGCGTCAAAAGCAGCATCTGATCTCTCTACTAATGCATTTATTTCTGTGCTTAAAAGGTTTATCGGGAGAAGAAGCTTGCCAGAGAAGGTGGTGTGCGACAACGCAACAAATTTCACCGGTACAGACGCGAAGCTAAAGGAATTGAAGGACGCCTTGTTCAGCAAAATCGCCTCCGTAAAGCCTACAAACAAGATTCTCGTTATTGCGAGTTGGTGGCAGATTATTAAATGCGCCACTTCCAATCGAAACAAGATTCCCTTTGTTATTACCAAAGTCCCGGTTTGCTATGTTGTATGTTAAGTATTTGCATTTAACTGCCACGCAGGACCGCGGGCACTTGTTGGTATATTTGAGGTTAAATGTATGGTTGATTAATGCGAGAGAAGTCGCGCGGAAGGTAGTTCATGACTGTGTTCTTTGTTTTAAGCATAAACCTAAAATGATGACCCAGATAATGGGAAATTTGCCACGAGATAGGCTAACATCAGTAAGACCGTTTGTAATCACTGGAGTAGATTTTTGTGGACCGATATATACGTCTTATGGAGTACGTGGTCGACCCCCTATAAGACGTATGTGGTGGTGTTTTCGTGTTTCGCGTCAAAAGCTGTTCATATCGAAGCGGCATCTGATCTCTCTACTAATGCATTTATTTCTGTGCTTAAAAGGTTTATCGGGAGAAGAGGCTTGCCAGAGAAGGTGGTGTGCGACAACGCAACAAATTTCACCGGTACAGACGAGAAGCTAAAGGAATTGAAANTCTTATGGAGTACGTGGTCGACCCCCTATAAGACGTATGTGGTGGTGTTTGTGTGTTTCGCGTCAAAAGCTGTTCATATCGAAGCGGCATCTGATCTCTCTACTAATGCATTTATTTCTGTGCTTAAAAGGTTTATCGGGAGAAGAGGCTTGCCAGAGAAGGTGGTGTGCGACAACGCAACAAATTTCACCGGTACAGACGAGAAGCTAAAGGAATTGAAAGACGCCTTGTTCAGCAAAATCGGCCAAGAGAAAATAGCCAACTTCGTCGCGGACCGCGGCGTAAAATTCCAATTCATCCCTCCTCGCGCCCCACATTTCGGAGGACTGTGGGAGGCCGCCGTAAAGTCTACAAAACATCTTTTGTATCGCACCGTCGCCGAAGCCAACCTCTCATTCGAAGAGCTGGCATTCCGCGTCGCATTTCGAACAAATTAGATGTGGTATCACCGTACATATAATAAAAAGTATAGATGATTTTCAATAAAATAACATTAAGTAAGATAAGATTTCCAGGCTTCACCTATTGGACTTTAAACCTCTCAACACAAAAACATGTAAATACTGACGCAATAAATATTGAACATGTAGCACTCCCGCACGATCCATCATATTTTGAAATTCATCAATATGGATCACAATCCATACATCACACTCTATATTGAAAGTGTGGAAGGCGCCCCACACTGTGATAAATTAACGAGTAGACTACCCAGCGATAATTTTCTTCGCTATGTGGTTAGTTATTTGTGCTGAGCGCTGTGTTGCCTGATCAACGCAATTGCTTCTAGAAGTGTTGTCACCGCTACACGCAACCATAGTACAATTTATCAAATTGATCCAACTTCTTTAGTATGACTTTATACACGGCAAACTTACCAAAAGTTACCAAAATTAAAAAAAAAGATGCCAAATTACCAAGCGCTCCAAAAGTTACCTATTTTGGTCAGAAGTTACCAAATGTGGCAACCGTGATTGCAATCGAGGGACAAATTTCTTATTGTTACAGAAAGTCTTTCAACTTTAGAATCACTTTTAAACAACCAAAATAATAATAAATTAATGTTAGCCATCAGGACTATGTTAATGGAAAGCGAAAACCGGTATAAAGATTATGTGGAGTCCGAGCCACGTAGGAATCGAAGGGAACGAAGCCGCAGACAGTAGAGCTAAAGTTGCCATAGAGGTACCACTATTCCTGTCAAAATGGATCCTCACAAAAGATATACTTAGATGTATAAACTCAAACATGTTCTTAAAAAAAACAAAACGAGTAGAAAAACTATCGCCATCACTATTCCGACATCAACACAGAATGCAAAAAGCCTACTTTACCCTACAATGTCAGCTGCAGCGCATTAAAATCATTTATTCGTCTAGGGATCGGACTCACAATTATCACCCACAGCTATATTCTTTCTGGATCGAACTCACCTCAATGCCCTTTCTGTGGTGTAAACGACCTCACCGTTTGCCATTTGTTAGCCAATTGCCCACAGTTCACTCCAACAAGAAATGCACTATTCGATAAAATCAGACCTTCGAGCCTACTGTCCGAAACTGTCCTAGGAAAAATAAAACTGATCAATGAATTTTTGGAAAAAACTGAATTAAAAAAATTTATATAAATATCAGGGTACGAAAATAAACTATGTTGTACGTTACTATTTCGTTTCGTTTATTACTTCAACAGTTCGGTACAATACGAAAACAAAACGGCTGAGTTCACTTTGGTGATAGTTCACTACAGTAGTTGAGTAGTTACAGACGAAACAACAAACGAAATGAATCGTGCAGAGAAAAGTAAATGTATGGATGTTTACATATGCAATAACTAAACACAAACCGAATGGTTGCAATGAATAAAATAAGTATAAAAATGTTTTTTAATTGAATTGGATATGAAAATTTACAGAAAAATATATTTTTCACGTAATTGAAACGGATTGACTGACGGACGACAAACTACAAGAAGGGGATATAACTTTTAAATTATAACTTCGACTGAAATACAATACATCCCTGCACAATCGAACTTTGCTACAAAACGGCATCTCTGATTGAACGAAGAGAGCCACAAAACGTACCCTAGATAAACGAACGGGTGACTCAAACGCAACACATGGAACTGATCGGACGCCATTGTTTAATTTCTATACAATAAACTATATTTACTACAATTTTAAGCCTTAATAAATAGAGTTTAATTTCGCGCGAGTTAAGTGACTTCGCCACAAGGCACGTAAACAAAGTTTCCACTAAGCATCATCAATAACAACCAAACATGCATTATCAAGAAATGCATTCTCAACATGTAAACAACAAACATCTGGCAATGGAATAATCCACTGCGATAACCACCGCCGCATCTCAACAATAACAAACAAGTGATAACAAGATAACAGATACCGAATTCCAACAAAGGAATGGCAAACAGGTAATAACTACCCATCTCAATAACAACAAACAACTTGCAACCAGATAACAGCAGCCACATCTCACTAGCATAAATTGCTGTAAGATCTTATATTATAAACAGTTTTAAGAATATAAATAAAGTGTACGCATTTCGGCGTAGTAATAAAAAAATATTTTTTTAACTCATATCGTGAAAGCAATATTAACTGGGGGCTCAAGCCGGTATAACCCTTGACTGCAGGCAAATATCTTCAACCTACAGGATAATAAAATAAAAATTCCACGGCTTTGAAGAAAAGCATAAAACCAATCTCTGAAAAAGTGAGATATAATAAGTTCATACAGTCGCGTAAAAGGCTAACCTTGAAATAGCAGGCAGAGTAAACCTATAAAAAGTGAAAAGCGAAATGAGAAATTCCTGGCTTCAAAGAGAATCCTTCACGCTGGACTCACGTAACAAACGCCAACAAAGTTCAATTCTAGATATGCGCTCAATGCAACAAGACGATACAATGGCACTGGGGCCCTATTCTATAACTCGATTCGAAAATAAATTTGCTCGAATTCGGATTTTTTGTACTTGGTAACTCTATTTTCGCATTTGCAATTCTAATTTCGAATAGTATATTCGAAAATCGAAAACTGGCAACTATGTAACTCGAATTTGAATGTCAAATTCATTCGATCTTCGCAAATAATACTCGTTAGCGTTTGAGCTGTAGAAACGGAATACTATTTGAAAAATGCAAGTATTTTAATAATCTTTTATTAAGTATAACAACTATAANAATACTATTTGAAAAATGCAAGTATTTTAATAATTTTTTATTAAGTATAACAACTATAAACGTAAAATATTTTACAATAGGGATTCATCCAGCAAAAGCCAGCATACAAAACAAAGCCAATTTGGAATTATGGTGGAATTCATGGAATCGCATCCAAGTTTGGCCAAAGGCTACATAAAGTGCGCTGATGCTAAGCAAACTTCCAAGAATTTGTGGGGACGGCTGACGGAAGAGTTCAATGGAGATGGACCACCTACGCGGGATGCATCTTCATGGAAAAAGGTAATTTTAGTGTGAGCCAAATAATGTTAACTCTTAAAGCTGCAGCAGGAGCCGCGCGTCGTATGACCTATCAAAGTACCGTTTTCAAGGTATAACGGTTATGATAAATAGCCGTATGCAAATGAACCACTCAATGAAGTACAGTTTTAATAAAGCAAAAGAAATTAAATTTTAGCAAATGTTACATTTGAAATATATTAAAAAACAACAAAAAATATAAACGCATTTAATTTATGTAATGAAAAAGAGTATTTTTTAAACATACGACGGCACTATGAATGGAATTTCGTTTATTATTAACTATTATTATTATTTTTTATTTACATATTTAAGGTTTGGGCGGATTACAAGACCCACCTCAAAGCCAAAGTGCGCAAAAATAAGTTGCACATGTCCGGAACTGGTGGTGGCCCTGCAAAAATTAGTTCCCTTAATTCGGTGGAGTTAAGGGTAATGGAGTTGTTGCAAATAAATGAAGCAGTAGATGGAATAGCCGGTGCTCAAAAATTCGGTGCAGGAAGAAGTGAAGCCACAAACAGCAACGAATGTAAAACTGCTCCAACCACTCCGAATTATGCAACTGATTTGCAGGATCGTGCAGAACTGCCACCTTCTACTCCTCCTTCCTATTCCCAGGTGTCACCCAATTGCAGTACGGTGCGGTCCCGAACTCAAAGCAAAAGCAATCTTTTGAAGATGCAAGTGTATGGGCAAAAAAAATTCCACAAAGATTGTACTCGCATTTTAAAAGACGTCAATTACAATTTAAAATCAATAGCAAAAACAAATAAGAAATCTGTGGAACAAATGGAAGAGAGAATAGAAATAGAGAGACAAAAACTTAAATTCGCAAAATTAAAACATGAATACAAAGTAAAAAGCGACATGGAGAGAAACAAAATTAGAATTTCAAAACTTAGACTGAAGCAACAGCTGCTAGATGTTAATACACGTAGAGATTAATATACATACATATCAAATATTTGCCTTGTAAGTACATATGTACACTTGAAGAAAATTTTTATGTTTATTTTTATATATAAATACATATGTATGTAATAGAACCACAAACATATTCATATATTATTCTCAAATAAATAAATAAAGAAAATGTACTTGTTGTGAAAAGTTCTTTAATTGCATTGATTT